TTCTTCCAACACAGATCTGTTGGTTCTTTTGGCAGCCCATGACACTTTCAATATTCTCCTCCAACACCATAACTCAAAGGCATCAATTCTTCTACGGTCTTCCTTATTCACTTTTTAGCTTTTGCATGCATATGAGGTGATTGAAAATACCATGGCTTGGGTCAGACATACCTTAGTCCTCAAGCTGACATCTTTGCTCTTCAACACACTTTAAAATGTCTTGTGCAGCAGATTTGCTTAGTGAAATACCTCATTTGATTTCTTGACTGCTGCTTCCATGAATTTTGATAGTTGATCCAAGAAGAATAAAGTCCTTGACAACTTCAATCTTTTCTCCATTGATAAGAATGTTGTCTATTGGTCCAGTAGTTAGTGGTTAGTGATATTGATAAAAAATATTGAAAGTACCATGGAAGGCCAGAAGAATGAATTAATCTGTCTTGGAAGAAGTATAGCCAGAATGCTCCTTGGAAGCCAGGATGGTGACTTCATCTTATACACTTTGATGTCATGCTTGGTAAAGCAGAGGGCCAGTATAAAAGAGATGGATCGCAACAGTGGGCTCAAACATCACAATGATTGTGATGATGATGCACATTTCTGTTCTACATACAGTGGCTATGAGACAAAAGGGACTAGCTGGCTCCCAACAGCATAAAGACTCAAAGGAAGGTCAAGACACATGCTCAAGGTTACATCACTGTAAGTGACAGAGCCCATATTCAATCCAAAGTAGCCTGGCTCCCAAGTCTAGACTCTCAACTGTAAGCTATGACATTTCACAAGCACAGAAGAGAGGTGGGACATGTACTTTGAACTGGGCACAACAGTGGAGAAAGAACATTCCAATGAAATACATGGTGTCTATCAGCAACCAGCTCTGGGATTAAGCATATGTGTGATGCCTGCTAACTGGGGCACAGCTCTTCCCTTGTTGGGAAAACAGGTACTCATCTCAGTGAGCTCTCTAGAGATAAGTGGGTTTGTGACCTAAGTCTAAAAGAAGGAGCTTCATCATTAAAGTTAAAAGTACTGAAGATCCCCACCATCATCTGCCACCATCACAGAGGAACTAAGTGGGCATGTCCCCAGATTGGGGTCAAGTGGAAAGCTTTATGATTGAAGAGATTCAACAATAGCCTTCAGCCTGAATTCTAGAAGGAGTCAAATGTCCAGAAAGATAAATAATAGCAATAAGGTCATTTACTGAAGACTCCTAATTGGAACATACTATGCTCAATGCTGAACATGATTTATCTAATTTACCCTCATGACATCCCCATAAAATGGTGTTAAGTGCCATCCAGTCTGAACAGACTCATCAAAACCCTGTATAGGGTTTCCAAGGCTTTAAATCTTCATCAGAGTAGAAAGTTTCATCTTTCTCCAGTGAAGGGACTGGGGGCTGGAACTGTCAAACTTATAGTAAGCACTTCACTGCTTATCATATGGAACCACCATGCTCTGTAAAATAGCAACTGTTATTTTCCTTTGCTGTTGTTAAGTGCCATCAGGTTGGTTCCCACTCATAGGAAGCCTGTCTAGGGTCTCTGAGGAGTGGCTGGTGGGTTTGGATCACCGATCTTGTGGTGAGCAGTGCAGTACTTATCCTACAGCACCACACTAGGGCACTTAAGAGAAGCAAAATGCACTGTTCATAAAGTTTCATTTGTCCAAGACTACAAAGCTGTCCAAGACTATATAGACTCTCTTTGTCCACTTGTCTGTTTGTCCTACTGTGGTGGCTTGTATGTTGCTGTGGTGCTAGAAGGTATACCACTGGTATTTTAAGTACCAGCAAGTCATCCAGGGTGGACAGGTTTCAGCTGAGCTTCCAGACTAACAGAAGGAAAAATGAACGACTTCCAAAGATTTGGTGGTGGTGGTAGTGTGTGATAGAGTCGGTTCCAGTTCATAGCAACCCTGTAAAGGTTTTCTGAGGAGTAGCTGGTGGATTTCAAGTGCTGACCTTGTGGATCACAGCCCCATGCATATCCTATAGTGCCACAGGAGAGTAATGCCTGAATACGGGCAGGAACCCTGGGCCCTCAGAATAAAAGTCTGGTGCTCTACTGACTGAGCTACCCAGGCTCTGAATATTTAGTCATTGAAAACCTTATGTATGGCAGTGGAACTCTGTCAGCACTAGGATACTGAATACTGAAACTTGATGAAGAGCACCAGCAGAATATCATCAGATATGGTGCCAGAAGATGAGCCCCTCAGGTTGGAAGGCACTCAAAATACGACCGGACAAGATGTCTCCTCAAAGTAGAGCTGACCTTGATGATGCAAACAACTCAAAATGAGGAGAAATGGCTATAATCATCCATTAATAATCAGAACACAGAATGTACAAAGTATGAATTGAGGAAAATTGGAAGTTGTCAAAAATGAAATGGAACACATAAACATCGATATCTTAGGCATTGTTATTGTTGTTGTTAAATGTCGTCGAGTTGGTTCTGACCCATAACGACCCTGTATAGCATTTCCAAGGAGCGACTGGGGAGCTAGAACTGCCAACCTTGCAGTTCTAACGGCTTTATAGTCTGGTACGTTAACCCACAGTGCCTCTTAGGCATTAGTGTGCTGAAATGCACTGATATTGGCCATTTTGAATCTGATAATCACATGGTTTACTATGCTAGAAATGACAAATTGCAAAGGAATGACACCACATTCATCATTAAAAAGAACATTTCGAGATCTATCTTGAAGTGCAATTGCTGTCTATGATAGGATAATGTCCATACACCTACAAGGAGGACCAGTTAATACAATTATTATTCAAATGTATGCACCAAACAATAAAACCAGTGATGATGAGTTGAAGAATTTTACCAAATTCTATAATCTGAAGTTGATCAAACATGCAATCAAGATGTATTCATAATTACTGGTGATTGGAATGCAAAGGTTGGAAACAAAGAGGAAAGATAAGTTGTTGAAAAACATGGCCTTGGTGATAGAAATGATGCTGGAAATTGATAAAACTTGGGAAAACCAATGATTTCTTCCTTGCAAATACCTCTTTTAAACAACAATAAGATGATTATACATATGGACCACAATGGAATATACAGAAATCAAATTGATGACATTTGTGGAAAGGGACAGGGGCAGACTATGGAACAGATCCTCAATTGCTTATATGCAACTTCAGGCTGAAGCTGAAAAAAATTAAAACAAGCCCCATGAGAGACAAAATATGACCTTGATCATATCCAACCTGTATTTAGAGAACTGAAGAACAGATTTTATGAGTTAGACACTAATAATCAAAGGCTAGAAGAGTTGTGGGATGACATCAAGAATATCATACAGGAAGAAACCAAAAGGTCATTAAGAAGACAAGAAAGAAGGGAAAGAGTAAGATGAACATCAGAAGAGACTTTGAAACTTGTTCCTCAGCATAAAGACGCTAAAGCAAATGGTGAGGAGGTAAAAGAGCTGAAAAGAAAATTTCAAAAGGCAGCTCAAGAAGACAAAGTAAAATTTATAATGAAGTGTACAAAGAACTGGTATTAGAAAACCATAAGAAAGAACATTTCTCAAGTTAAGGGAACTGAAGGAAAAAAATTCAAGCCTTGACGTTGAACACTGAACGATTCTATGGGCAAAATATTGAATGATGCAGAAAGCATCAAAAGAAGACGGAAG